TGCGATTGGACGGCGTTGACCACCAATGATTTCTAGTTGTTGCGATTGAACGGCGTTGGCCACCAATGATTTCTAGTTGTTGCGATTGAACGGCGTTGACCACCAATGAGTCCTAGCTGTTGCGATTGAACGGCGTTGACTACCAATGAGTTCTAGTTGTTGCGATTGAACGGCGTTGACCACTAATAAGTTCTAGCTATCGCGATTGAACGGCGTTGACCACCAATGAGTTCTAGCTATCGCGATTGAACGGCGTTGACCACCAATGAGTTCTAGCCATCGCGCTTTTAGCTGTCGACGACTAGCTTCTACATCGGGACAGAAAGACGAAATACGGTTTATATTTTAAGCCACTGATCATGTATTTTCTATGTACATGTGGAACGAAAATTTTCTATTATAAGGGATCCAATTATATGATGTTCGAAAGAAATCTAAACAATATATATAACTTTATAAGGGAAACCATCTGTCTTTTCTTGCATGTTAAGTGTGGAGGTAGGTATAATAGTCCGTGGAAATGTGTATGTTATTTACAGGTAGATTAACTGACAAGAGTTCGGATCCTTATACCAGAAATACTACAGAGACATATCAAATAACTCCTACGTTAGCTTTCTAATGACATGCAAATATACGAGTATACATTGATGTACTTCGTTTTAGTCCCAGGTATTCACGCAATGCTTTAAGACAGTCATTTGATGTCTGTTCTATTTTAAATTCTATGGATTTGTATTATCCGAATGTGAAATCCACCCAGTCTCTTACATTTTGATCCATATTCGGTATCATCATTTGTAAAACACGATAAACTTTTTTTGAGTGTTGTTTCTCTTAAACTATGAGTACCTATAGGAGACGGTTTGAAGATGACGTCACAGACTGACAAGTGGTCTGACTTCTAAATAGCATGACTAGTAATGTTGTATATAACCAGCATGTATAAATCAAGGTATCTCAATGTCCTATATAAAATACACAACGGTGTTAACCTTCTACAATCTGATATCTTATGTGGACAATCAAAATTACATAAGCCACTCTTTATCGACAAGATTCATGTATAGATACGTTGTCACAAGATACGCATTATCATCCGAAGACAAGGTGCAATGTGATGTTATTATTATGTGTTGTAAAGACAGAATTTTTAACATCTGTTAAAACAACGTTTACCGAGATTTTGAATTCCATTTCAAGATTATGATTCACGTTCATATATATATATTTGATGACAATTTGCGTCAAAATTCTGATATCATCTATAATATTTATGGTTCTTTCTTCACCTTTAAACGTAAACATAATTGCCCGTCATCTAGGCAATAAAAATAAAAAAATTTTTCGTCTTTATTAGGTCGAATTTCATAATTTCCCACTGCAGTATTCATGACACAAGACACGTCTTTGTTGTAATCTGGTGTTGTTTTTTGGGTATAGAGTTTCTGCTCATCAACAAATGATATCTTAGGCCAAACAACTTCAAAAAAGGTACACTCTCCTGTTTAAGTTACCACAACAACTAAATACAATGCTCTGACACTCCACCCACGTAAAAATTACGTCATCGTTAAAGCCCCAGATATTTCCAGGTAGTCGGATGAATTTTAAATATTCATGCATCCTTTGTTTGGAGCGTTCCCTACATGTCAGCGAGGCACCGGAAGCTGAATGTTGAAGTTAAGACAAACCTCCAGTCAACGAAATTTTCCTAAACTTCCAGAGTTCTTTCAAGTGATATTCATCAATTAAGAAACTTTGCATAACGGTGTAATCCTTGTCAGATGTATAAAAAAAGTTCCAATAACGTGTATATCTATGTCTCGCGGGATTCCCTGCGCAGTCTACGAACGGTAAGAGTGGCTGACCAGACCGTGTGTATCACATAAAACGTTTCAGCAATAGGCAGGGAAAAGGAAGTACAATTGTACGACTAAGGAAGGTCATGGACACGAACAGGACTCTGAGCCTTTCTCACTTCCTAGAACTCTCGACTGTAAAGCCAAATTGAGGCAGTGTTAAGGAAGAGAAATTGTTTAAGATAATACGAAAAGACAACGACCCAAGTAGTTCTCCGCTCAGAAGTCACTTTCCAGATCTGAGACTATTAAACACTAGCATAAATTTATCTAAATGATGACGTGTACACGATTCTTAAACTGTATTTCTCCACCAATACGAAACTTAGAATTCCTGAAAATTTTAATATTGATATAATATTTCTCTATTCAATTATCCTGTCGGATAAACAACAAATACATAAAATACATTTCACTCCGATTGATATATTAAATAAAACAAATCATTTTCAAACAAAACTACGCTTAATGGACAAAAATGCTTATATATTATATATATACCTGCAAAAAAAACTGCATAACCATTGATTAACTGATCAAATACTGAATATTATTTCCCGTAAACTATTTTAAGAGGATATTATTATTAAATCCACACATTTTATTAAAAAAAAAACAAAAAAAAAAAAAACAGAATAATAATTTTAACGTCTGTCTGCCACTTCCTGTGTCGCCTGAATGATTCCTACAGGTAACGCGCGTTATGAATGTGCACGTGCAAAATCTCAGACCATCACTCCAACTATTGGCGAGGCATAACATTGAGAAAGTAATTCCAACTGGTCCACCGGTTGAAATGATATGTACAATATATGTGATAGACCAAACAATTTAATACATTCCTTACGCTACAAATACTATATGACTTTCAGGCGCTACGGACGTTATCAGACTATCAGGCGCTACGGACGTTATCAGACTATATTAGGCGCTACGGACGCTTTCAGATCATCAGGCGCTATGGACGCTATCAGACTGTCAGGCGCTACGGACGCTATCAGACTGTCAGGTGCTACAAGCGCTACCAGACTATCAGGCGCTACGGACGCTGTCAGACTGTCAGGTGCTACAAGCGCCAACAGACTGTCTGGCGCTACGGACGCTATCAGACTGTTAGGCGCTACGGACGCTATCAGACTGTCAGGCACTATCAGACTGTCAGGCGTTACGGACGCTATCAGACTGTCAGGTGCTACAAGCGCTATCAGACTATCAGGCGCTACGGACGCTATCAGACTGTCAGGCGCTACGGACGCTATCAGACTGTCAGGCGCTACGGACGTTATCAGACTATCAGGCGCTACGGACGCTATCAGACTGTCAGGTGCTACAAGCGCTATCAGACTATCAGGCGCTACGGACGCTATCAGACTGTCAGGTGCTATAAGCGCCAACAGACTCTCTGGCGCTACGGACGCTATCAGACTGTTAGGCGCTACGGACGCTATCAGACTGTCAGGCGCTACGGACGCTATCAGACTACCAGGCGCTACGGACGTTATCAGACTGTCAGATGCTACAAGCGCCATCAGACTGTCTGGCGCTACGGACGCTATCAGACTGTTAGGCTCTACGGACGCTATCAGACTATCAGGCGCTATCAGACTGTCAGGCGCTACGAACGCTATCAGACTATCTGGCGCTACGGGCGCTATAAGACTTTCAGGCGCTACGGACGCTATCAGACTTTCATGCACTTCATGCGTCATCAGAGTTTTAGCGCTAAACACGCTATTCAATTGACAGACCACACAATATTCAATATATATGATTTCGGACTTTTTTTTATATATATACCTAGAAAGTTTAAAGTAGAAAAAAGTAAAATGTGCAGACAATAAAATATTCAGACTATAGGGAATTCAAACTTAACTATATTCAGATTACAAAATGTTCAGATTTTGAAATCTTTATACTATATTATGTTCAGATTGTACAAAGTTAAGACTTAACAACTTTCAGATTATACGAAGTTCAAACTAAACAATGTTCAAACTTACAACGTTCAGACAATGAAATGTTCCGTCTATACAATGTTCAGGCTAAAACTAAGTTCAGACCACACAACGTTCACAATAAAGACTTTGTCGACTTCAAATGTTTTATACAGTGTTCAGATTATACCAAGTTTTTATATCATACAATGTTCATGCTAAACAATGTTCAGACTAGACAATGTTCAGACTAATCAATATTCAGACCAGACAATGTTCAGACTAGACAATATTCATACTAGACAATGTCCAGACTATACAATGTTCATGCTAAACAATGTTCAGACTAGACAATGTTCAGACTATACAATGTTCGTGCTAAACAATATTCAGACCAGACAATGTTCAGACTAGACAATATTTAGACTAGACAATGTTTAAACTATACAACGTTTGAATTTCTATAGTTTGCCTACAGTACAGACTCTAGACGTAAGCGTTTGTAATCGTTTCTGGGAGAGTTAAACGTCCCATAGACAATTTTCCTGTTGTCAGGGTGGAAAACATTAGCATGATTTCCAAATGTATACCCAGACACAAATGTGATGTTGCTGCAGCGTCGAAGATATTCGCATTTTTGACACCGCTAACTTTCAAGCAAGTTACGTAAATGACTATATTTGCAGGCAAATGACAGCCACTAGAGGTCACCTCTGTTTGGACCAATCAAACAGCTGTGGACAGATGCACGACCATACTCTCACCAGCTTGCACGTCAAAATAGCAACGGGTCACAACTAAAGTATATATACCTACACTGAAACAAGTGCATGAGTGGATATTTCACCATTGGTCCGTCGTGGAGTTTATAACATTGGCCCGCACTCATAGCTGCTAGCCAAGTCAGGTTATCGTTGGGATCAACTCTATAGTTTGTGTATCTGTCTGTTACCTGTGTATAGCTCACCTGTACCACTTACCTGTTCGACATACCTGTACACCGAAAGCTATGTTACCTGGATTAACACTATTACTGTGATACAACGTTCTATTTATCAATAGTCAATCAGTTATGAATTAATTACTCAGCGTCCAAATGTGTGCTTGGTCCAGCGCGGGAAAATAAGTAGAATTTCGTACCGCTGTGCGGTCGACCTCAGGGAACAGATTCACAAGTGTTGTCTGTAAGGCAATTCCGTTTTCAAAGTGAAGTTCGTGCATACACGTTTATATGCATTGTAATATGCATTTAATACTGGTGATCGTAGCCTTAGTAACCCTTTGGGGTACTTGTGAGGGATTGAGAGGAACTGGCCGGACTGTCAAATTGACCCATGCTGACCGCGCTATGCTTATTAACTATCACAACGAGCTGAGACGGGAGGTGCACGCCTCAAACATGCAGGAATTGGTAAGTTATCAAACATCCGTATTTACTTATGTCACGTGATAAGAGTAGAGTGAGGTGGTGGTTGGAGGGGGCAGTATGTAATGTAAATAAAAGGGTTTTGTTTTACCTATTTAAAACCTGTAATATATTATGAATAAATAATAAATACAGTACTCGTTCCTGATCAGTCAGCATACAGTGACACAAATTGTAAACAGAAAATAAAGCTAACATTCAGTCACTTGTAATCTCCAGCTCGTTGGCTTACCCTTTAATATGTCTTATCGAGGTGATATAGCAATACAAATTAACGTTTGAAAGATTTCAGAGTTTGATTTTTTTTTTTAGAAAGTTATCAATGCCTTCCTCGAAAATAGGAAAACGTGCATTTTGCTTAGATTTACTAAGTTTCAAGACGATAACAATCATGACCGGATTTCCCTATATAAATTAGCATTTGGAGTATTGTGATAACATAATACAAGAACGTAGAATCGTAAAACATAGAGGCCACATCACACCAAAAACGTCAAGGAGAATCATATTACAGGGAAATCGTACAAAAGAACGTACAAAGTACAACATTCGTAAAAAACTATAATATAGAACGTGCATGAAATATCTTTCTACAAAACATACAGAGTTACTACAGAACATACAGGGTGTATCATACCACAGAACATACAGGGTGTATCATACTACAGAACATACAGGGTACATCATACTACAGAACATACAGGGTATATCATACTAAATAACGTACAGGGTGTATCATACTACAGAACGTACAGTGTACATCATACTACAGAACGTACAGGGTGTATCATACTACAGAACGTACAGGGTGTATCATACTACACAACGTACAGGGTGTATCATACCACAGAAAGTACAGGGTGTATCATACTACAGAACGTACAGGGTGTATCATACTTCAGAACGTACAGGGTGTATCATACTACAGAACGTACAGGGTGTATCACACTACAGAACGTACAGTGTACATCATACTACAGAACGTACAGGGTGTATCATACTACAGAACGTACAGGGTGTATCATACTACAGAACGTACAGGGTGTATCATACTACAGAACGTACAGAGTGTATCATACCACAGAACGCACAGGGTGTATCATACTACAGAAAGTACAGGGTGTATCATACCACAGAATGTACAGGGTGTATCATACTACCTAACGCACAGGGCAGATCATACTAAAGAACGTACAGGGCAGATCATCCTAAAGAACGTACAGGGTGTATCATACTACAGAACGTACAGGGTGTATCATACTACAGAACGTACAGGGTATATCATACTACAGACTTACAGAGTACATCATACTACAGAACGCACAGGGTGTTTCATACTAAAGAACGTACAGGGTGTATCATACTACAGAACGTACAGGGTGTAACATACTACAGAACGAACAGGGTGTATCATACCACAGAACGCACAGGGTATATCATACCACAGAATGTACAGGGTGTATCATACTACATAACGTACAGGGCAGATCATACTACAGAACGTACAGGGCAGATAATCCTACAGAACGTACAGATATATCATACTACAGAACGTACAGGGTGTATCATACTACATAACGTATATCATACTACAGAACGTACAGGGTGTATCATACTACAGAACGTACAGGGTGTATCATACTACAGAACGTACAGGGTATATCATGCTACAGAACGTACAGGGTGTATCATACTACACAACGTACAGGGTGTATCATACTACACAACGTACAGGGTATATCACACTATAGAACGTACAGGGTGTATCATACTACAGAACGTACAGGGTATATCACACTACAGAACGTACAGGGTATATCATACTACAGAACGTACAGGGTGTATCATACTACAGAACGTACAGGGTATATCATACTACAGAACGTACAGGGTGTATCATACTACAGAACGTACAGGGTATATCATACTACAGACTTACAGGGTACATCATACTACATAACGTACAGGGCAGATCAAACTACAGAACGTACAGTGCAGATCATCCTACAGAACGTACAGATATATCATACTACACAACGTACAGGGTGTATCATTCTACAGAACGTACAAAGTGTATCATACTACAGAACGTACAGTGTATATCATACTACAAAACGTACAGGGTGTATCATACTACAGAACATACAGTGTACATCATACTACAGAACGCACAGGGTGTATCATACTACAGAACGTACAGGGTGCATCATACTACAGAACGTACAGGGTGTATCATACTACAGAACGTACAGGGTGTATCATACTACAGAACGTACAGGGTGTATCATACTACAGAACGTACAGGGTGTATCATACTACAGAACGTACAGGGTATATCATAATACAGAACGTACAGAACGTACTGGGTGTATCATACTACAGAACGTACAGGGTATATAACACTACAGAACGTACAGGGTATATCATACTACAGAACGTACAGGGTAGATCATACTAAAGAACGTACAGTGTATATCATACTACAGAACGTACGGTGTATATCATACTACAGAACGTACAGAACGTACAGGGTACATCATACTACAGAACGTACAGGGTGTATCATACTACAGAACGTATAGGGTATATCACACTACACAACGTACAGGGTACATCATACTACAGAACATACAGGGTATATCATACTAAAGAACGTACAGGGTGTATCATACTACAGAACGTACAAGGTGTATCATACTGCAGAACGTACAGAGTACATCATACTACAGAACGTACAGGGTGTATCATACTAAAGAACGTACAGGGTGTATCATACTACAGAACGTACAGGGTATATCATACTACAGACTTACAGGGTACATCATACTACAGAACGTACAGGGTGTATCATACTACAGAACGTACAGGGTGTATCATACTACAGAACGTACAGGGTGTATCACACTACAGAACGTACAGGGTATATCATACTACAGACTTACAGGGTACATCATACTACAGAACGTACAGGGTGTATCATACTACAGAACGTACAGGGTGTATCATACTACAGAACGTACAGGGTGTATCATACTACAGAACGTACAAGGTGTATCATACTGCAGAACGTACAGGGTATATCATACTACAGAACGTACAGGGTGTATCATACTACAGAACGTACAGATATATCATACTACAGAACGTACAGGGTGTATCATACTACAGAACGTACAGGGTATATCATACTACAGAACGTACAGGGTGTATCATACTACACAACGTACAGATATATCATACTACTGAACGCACAAGGTGTATCATACTACACAACGTACAGGGTATATCATACTACACAACGTACAGGGTGTATCATACTACAGAACGTACAGGGTGTATCATACTTCAGAACGTACAGGGTGTATCATACTACAGAACGTACAGGGTATATCACACTACAGAACGCACAGGGTGTATCATACTACAGAACGTACAGCGTATATCATACTACAGACTTACAGGGTACATCATACTACAGAACGTACAGGGTGTATCATACTAAAGAACGTACAGAGTATATCATACTACAGACTTACAGGGTACATCATACTACAGAACGTACAGGGTGTATCATACTACAGAACGTACAGGGTGTATCATACTGCAGAACGTACAGGGTGTATCATACTACAGAACGTACAGGGTATATCACACTACAGAACGCACAGGGTGTATCATACTACAGAACGTACAGCGTATATCATACTACAGACTTACAGGGTACATCATACTACAGAACGTACAGGGTGTATCATACTAAAGAACGTACAGGGTATATCATACTACAGACTTACAGGGTACATCATACTACAGAACGTACAGGGTGTATCATACTACAGAACGTACAGGGTGTATCATACTGCAGAACGTACAGGGTGTATCATACTACAGAACGTACAGGGTGTATCATACAACAGAACGTACAGGGTACATCATACTACACAGACTACGTTTTTCAAATTTAGTTTCTAATTGGAAATAAACTTGGCGTTTTGGGTTTATTGCTATATAAGTTAACTCCGGGTTGTGGTTTTCCATTAGCATAAACGTGATGTTAAAAGGGCATGTTTATATGTGAGGTAAGGGTAGGATACTTACATACTCAAAACATGTTCGTCAACATGTTGAAATAAATACATTGTGTATTCACATCTATCTTTGTAGTCGTGCTCAGACTTTTTTTCCTACAAAAGAAGATGAACGAAACATGGCGAAAGTGTTTTAGACGGAAAAATCTGAGGTTTAACCTTTGTTGTTTTTAAACAGATTTTTCATTCATAACAAGCTTTGATATGATCATGGTTATAATGCTGGTTACTTGGCGTTATAATTCTAAACGTTTTGTATGTGTGTGAGGAACAGATTCATCTCTAAGCGCATCTACATACGAGATGACATGATGCATATCCTACAACAACAGAATGCTGATATATAGCGTTAAAAAAGGTACCGGGTTATTTATCATGGTTAAATACAACTGGTATATCAATATTGACATAAGAATCAGCTGAGCTTGGGCCAGACGACGCGGTCACCGGCAACTAATTTACATTTAATGTCATTTAATGTATCGGACAAATTTTAAAATACAACTCTAACTCTTTGAAACAAATTATAGAAAAACCGTTGATGGAGTTTAAACGAAGAAGAAAGAGGCTTAATTATGACATACTAAGTTGATTTAAATACCGATCTTTAACGGGAAATAATTCATCTCTCATCACATTCTGATTAACTCAATAAGACGACAGCTGGTCGGTATTTACATTGTGTTGTGTAATGTATATAGAACAAAAATACTTTGTCCTACTAGATGTATTAAACATTCCAAAAGTAACATGCCTAGGTGCAGTTCAAATCACCATCACTTTGATCCACTTGTATGTATGGAACATCAGATCTGCCATATAACACGACTTGTTTGTATCATTATGTGATATTAATTTGTTTTAACGCTGTGTGTATTAATCGGTATGTGATGTAAA